GTTTCGACGACGGGGCCGGCTACCGTAGGGTTTTACGGCCCGACCCAACGACAGACCAAAAAAAAAAAAAAAAAAAAAAGACCGCGATCGCGATCTAAAAAAAGCCATGATCGCGATCTGCTGCGGCAATTCGGCGGGAGGTCCTTCACTCCCAGGCGGAGTGAGGGACCGTCCGCCGAATTGCCGCCGAATACCTGGACCTGCCGCCCCTCTCCGGAGCAGCCGCCCCAAGCACCTGCTTGAGAAGCTGGTGCCTGGAGCCGGCCCTGGCTGTTTGAAACAGTGCTACACTAAAGTGCACTAGGGAACCTTTAGTGTGAACCAGCAGGGTCTACACAGACCAATTAATGTGCAACACATTAGTGTGCTTTAGAAATCATACCTCTGTCATCCGCATTACTGCTCCGTGTAGACAAAACTTTAGATCCAACTAACCATTTCCCATGTTTTCCCCATGTTTATTGAACACTGATTTCATTTTTTATTGGGATGTTTTACTGGTGTTTATCAGTTAATACTGAAAATCAGAAGCCCTAAACTTATGGAACATTGTGGAGACCTGCGAAAACCTATGGAAATATTGGGGGATCTCCAGACTAACCTATGGAAGCAAGGGATTTCTACACAGGAAGTGTCGGGTACCTCTGTGGACTGTCACATTTATAGAACTAGCTGCACCTCTGCCCCCTCTTGGTATTTCTTCACTGCAGAGTAAACATGGAGGATCAGCACCTGGGTTAGCCTAGTCTAGGTGTGAGTGGCCACTCCAAAGTTATTGTGTCCTCATTGATGCTGCAGTCCCCTGTGTGTGTGTGTTGCTAGGACTTGGGGGGCGGGAGGGGGCATCTCCCATGGTTCTTTGTGCTGCAGTGAGATGAGCCACTCTGATTCTTTCCCAATGAATTGTAGGAGAACTTGTCTGTCCTTCTGGCCAGATGAGAGGAATTGTGGGAAGGCATTGGAGGACTATCAGCACTGGAATGATTTAATCTGTGTCCTCACTGCAAAGTGAGTGGGTTATCAGCCTCACTCAGCCTTTAGCCCAGGGGTCGGCAACCTTTCAGAAGTGATGTGCTGAGTCTTCATTTATTCACTCTAATTTAAGG